AGAGAGAGAGAGAGAGAGAGAGAGAGAGAGAGAGAGAGAGAGAGAGAGAGAGAGAGAGAGAGAGAAAGATGTTATGTACCCGATTGAACTTCAATCCACAACGTATTCACACGTTCCCATACACGCATGCAATTGCAGAGTAGACTCGAAGGAGGCAAATCCACACAGAAACGGAGAGAAGATATGCACAGCGGAAGCTCAAAATACACAGAGAATTGAAAAACGAATTTCAATTCTGTAATCCCCCGTCCTCCTCTATCAATCTGAGTACTTGTTCCAAGAATCACAACTGCATTTACAACAACCCCGAACAACCAAAAACAAGTTCAAGGAAGTCTGCAGGAGTCTTCTTCTTCCTCCTCGCTACCTCATACCCCTGGCTATGGCTGCCGCAGCAGCAGTAACCCCACAGCTGTCACAACGTGCCAATCTGAACCAGCAACCCCAATAATAGCAGCGCCAACTCAGCGTCCGCACGGAAGCGCTGGAAGTCCTGATGAACAAGGAGACAACCCATTCAGCACTTCGAAGAAGACAAAGATGAAGTTCCTCATGAAGAGGAACAGCAGATATGGCTGCCAAGTGGAGAATGGCAGTGCCCAAACCCAACAACACAGTCCTGTGGAAGCTCTCGTGCGGAGCTGCTAAGTAGCAGTAGTGCGATCTTCAATTTCGTTTCCCAGCCCCAGCTATGGCTGGGCTTCGAGGAAGAAGATTCCCTTGCCCAAAATAATGCAGCAACAGCAACGGATGGGCAAAGTTTCCCCAGCCAAAATAACGAGAAAAGACCCAAACCCAATTTTCTGCCTGCTACTTCTACCCTCTACCTAGACCTACGATGGACTCCCAAGGCAACAACACGAGACTCATCTGTATCTAGATGGAAACAAGGGAAAAGGGGACCTAGACCTATAACAAGGCAAAAGGAAAAGGCCGAATGGCATAGGACTACTGAACAAAGACTACAAATGACAGACTTAGGGATCAAGTCCCATAGGCCGTAGCACTCACAAACCAGACACACATGCTCCCACAGTATCAAGTACCTGCCATGGGTCATAGTAGACAGGCAACAACTGTCATGATATGTCACGTTCATCAGTTAACTCTGATCTTTTCCACAGACCCAATGACTAGGCGGAATAGGAGAGGGAAAACAATGCTTATTAGCCTGCTCTATCATCCTTTTCTGAGCCTTGAACATGCTACTTCTGGTTTTCTCTAGGTCTTTCTCAGAACTCTTGGTGATCTGCAGTCCCAGGAGTTAAGTTTAGGCTTAGTCTTGTCAATGAGATCGTCAAGAGGTTGTCTTGGGTCTCTGGCAAAGTGCAGCCTATAGGGTGTAAAGCCGGTAGTGCTATGAATAGAAGTATTATACATAATTTGAGCCCTAGACAGATGCTTGTCCCAATCCTGTTGATCAGGTGTGATCGCATGACGCAGCTGCTGAAACAAGACTTGGTTCATCACTTCAGCCTGTCCATTGGCTTCATGATGCCAGCTAGAAGTCATGTCTAGAGGGGAATGGAGGTAGTCTTTACAAAAAGATTGCCATTCATCATTGCAAAACATGGGGTCTCTGTCACTGACAATAGAGGTTGGGCACCCATGAACATTAACCCACCTCTCAACAAACAACTCTCTTAACAGAGGAACTCTGGACTCAGCAGGTAAGGGAATAAACCTAGCAAACTTAGAAAAACGGTCAACACATACCATTACTTGTCTCATGCCACGAGGGGTGGTGTTGCCCAAATTAGTAAAGTCAGTGTACACAGACTCATCTGGACCAGCTGGAATAGGCAATGGTTTGAGTAGCCCCATAGGAGGTCGTCTGTGGACCTTGTTCCTTTGGCATAACTCGCAAGTCTTTAAGTACTTGAAAATATCCTCCCTCATTCTTGACCACTAAAAGCGTTGGGCCAGGGCAGCATAAGTCCTTAGGAACCCAAAATGACCTCGAGCATCACGACTTTCTAAAATTAGACGAGTTATGACCTTGCGATCATTAGGAATGCACAAGCGTTCGTCTCCTTCACTGATGGTGTATAGGAGATATGAAGTCGAGGCATAGCCTGGCTTAGAATTGGGATCCACTTGCAAATTTCTAATACTAGGGCCAAAGACAGGGTCCTGAGGTAACGCATCAGTATTAGCCTGGCGTGTGGAGTCTCCAAATGAGTAAGTAGGAGCAATAGCAGTGAAGGTATCAGGCCTGCAAGAAAGGGCATCAACTACTCTAGTATAGCGTCCCTTTTTGTGTTTCAGTTCAAAGTCAAAGGAATCAATGAACTGAATATACCTCGCCCACTTGTCATTCAACTCCCCCTGGGTCTTCATCCACTACAAGACCGAATGGTCAGAGTAGATTTTGAAGTGTCTTTCTAGTAAGAAGTGGTTTCATTGTTTGAGGGCACACACAAGGGCAAATAATTTTTTTTCATAAGTAGATGCCTGCACTTTTTGTGTCTCGGTTTTCTTACTCGTGAACTCCACAGGCTTTAGGCAAGACCCATCATCTTGGGGAAGGACACCCCCTACACCATACTGACTTGCGTCTGTGGTCAACACAAATGGCAAGGTAGGGTTAGAAAGCCTCGACACAGGCGCTTGGGTCCAGATTTTCTTCAATATGGATTGGCATGTGGATGTCAATTTGAAAGGAACATCTTTTGCCAAGAGGTTAGTCAGGGGAGTGACCACAATAGAAAAGTTTTTGATAAACGTTTTGTAGTAAGATGGTAGATCCATGAAAGACCTAATGTTCCTAACAGTCTGTGGTTGTGGCCAATCCCTGACAACAACCACTTTGGAGGCTTCTGGGGAAAGACCATCTGCAGAAATCACATGTCCCAAATACAAATCAGAACAGGCACAAAAATATGATTTTTCTGTATTTATTTTGTATTCATTTTCCCTCAAAATCTGTAGAATTTTTTTAAGATGATACGCGTGATCAAGAAATGGTTTGAAAATTTTGTTCATTTTTGATTGGAAGGTTCCTTATGCATTGCACAACTCAAAGAGCACAACCAGAAACTTATAGGTGTCATACCGGGTTTTAAAGGCTGTTTTACAAACATCCTCAGTCATTTCGATATGATGATACCGGGATTTTAGATCGATTTTGCTGAAGACTTTGTAGCCCTGCACCATATCCAACAGGTCATCGATCCTAGTCAAGGGCTCTTCCTAGCGATCTTGTTCAGGCCCCTATATCCAATACACATCATGAATTCACCATCTTATTTTGGAACAAAGAGAACTGGTGCCTCATACTCAGATGTGTTGGGCCTGATCCAACCCTTCTTTGTTAGTGTCTCTAATTGCTTCCTTAGCTCATCCAACTCAGCAGGAGACATCCTATAGACTCTGCCTTTGGGAGGGCTTGAGTCAGGTAGGATCTTTATGCGATGTTTGGTCTGCCTATAGACAAGTCCAGTAGGCTCTTGAACTAAGTCTGCATAATCATTAACCACTCTATTGATGATGGGATCACAGTGAGGGGTAGATGAATTTGTTTGTGCCACATAGGCAACAAAGAGATTCCGATGGTCAGTATGTTTAGACAAGTTGTAAAATTTTATTGCCTTCAGGCAATAACAACTGTCTTAGGGTGATAATCAGTAGCTAAGACACAAGGTCGAAACTCACTTTGTTCAGTTTTCAGTTGAATACTGGGCACAACCTAGTCAATGAATGGATTAGTAACCTTCAACCACGTGAGGCTCAAAACCAGATCAAAGGGTAATTGTGGAAACACATAGAAGTTCAGACTGTGTCTGACTTCGCGCTTTGCGTCAAAGGTGACTGACACACCCTTGAGGACCTGCTTTGTGACAAATTGGAAATTCCCAACTTGTATGTTATGTGGATGCTCAAGATCTGTGACCTTTGGGGAAATAAAATTCCTTGTAGCACCACAATTTAGCAGAACTTTCATTCTGGTTCTGTTTATTAGAGGCCTGAGTAAGATCAAATCCGATTTTACTTTCCTCTTCTCTTTTAACTGGAGATGGAGAGTACACAGTTTATCAGACTCTTCCTCAGACAAGGGCTTATCCAAGAAAGGCCCAGTGTACGCACACAGAGAGTCAGTTGCAGCCTCACCACAATCAGGCTGAGAGACTGATTAACTGTTAGTGCCGCAAGTGGGGCAGTCCTTCACAAAGTGTTTCTTAGCACATCTAAGGAAAACTCCGTGGTCCTTTCTTTTCTGCCACGTCCCCTTAGCCATCTTGAGATTTCTCCAGGGGAAAGTGCCAAGATCCATGGGACTAGCTGAACAGGTGGCACCCTCTGGAAGATTGGGTACCTACGGGCCACCTGGGCGTTTGCCTGAACCCTTAGGATTGGAGGGCCTTTGGGGTTGAAACTGACTTTTGCCTTTCATCAGGCTCATCGGAGTTTGACCCAACAAAAGGGCAGCCTGATCTGGCGTGGCTCCTGCATCTAGACCAGATGAGGGAACAAATCCTCCCTGGT